CTTCCAACACCACTACACTAGGCAAGACACACCACTGACGACAATACGACACGTGTTTCGCCTCTACACGAGGCATCCTCAGGTGATATAGACTCTACGGTGGCTAACCGCTAAGTGAGCGGCGAGCCAAAACAAGTGCCTTTTATACAAACCGATGATGCAACCGCTCATTTGCGAAGTAAATTTTTGTAAAAGCAAATTTATGGTATAATTGAAGAAGTGGTCGATTTTGCTAAACAATTAAATTTAGATGTGGATAATGATGACGTTCAAGAATTGCTGGATTCACTCAATCAAGAGCTAACAATTGACGAGGTTATGGACATTGCGTGAGCATGATGAAGACATTGAACAACCTGATTCGTTAGAACCAGTTGAATCGGAAAATCAAATGATTTCAAACTTAACAGAAGGCCTCAGTACAATTGAAAAGGGGTTACAATTTTTTGAAAAAATAGATACAAATGAAGAGCGCGTTTCTACTACAAAACGGGAAATAAATAACTTAATGGCATGCTACGAGGAAATTTAACTGAGAAGAAAAACTTAACTCGTCAGGTGACATTGTTAGAATATATGAAGCCTTCGACATCAAAATAACTTCGGTTTATGTTGTTGTATTTATAGTAATGTAAATTGTTTTTATTACCTAACATTTTATTAAATATGATTCTTCTAAATTATTGTTTTCTTTAGACTGGTCCCGATTTCACAAACTTTATACATATTTATATGCAAAATTGAACCCAGACTTATGCGAATTCGACTTACACGGCTTTCGCTTGGTTCCACCTATCGCGTAAGTCCGGGGTATTACTGTATATTCTGAGTCTATGCTTAGGACACAAGACCACAAATTATAAATTCATATGTACACTTCGCCGTCCCCGACGAACAAAATCGTAATAGAAAAATGTCAATTTTACAGGAGCAAATAAAAACTGAATATCATAAGAACTATCAAACCTAGAAAGAACATTCTTTTACCAAAAATAGGAAATAAAATTTTGGCACTACAATTATACTAAATTTTTCTAAAAAGTTTTCTTTATAAATAAGAAAATCATAAAAATGTCCATTACTGAAATAAATTACGGAGGATGTTACCGCTAACTAACTTTAAGATAGTGTTCAACGGAAATCACAAAATGATGTGGCTATAGCTATCGTGCATTACGATACTGTTCCATGGTAAATATACATGTACTTTCTGTTCGTATAATGTCATTGCAATTGTATTCGATGATGTAACTGACCTCAATATTACGGTAAACATACATTACATGTTCTTTTGATTATCGTTTTAGGAGTTAAGATTTAATTTAATACCGTCATAATCTTTTATCTATTACTATAATAAATTAGTGGAACCAGGTTTGTCTGTACACTAAGGATAATGGACTAAAATGATAGGGAACGACAAAATAAAGGTAATATAAGAGAAAAATGCGCTTTTTGTTTCGTGTCTGTCTGCTCTGTTTGTTCCAGCACATCTCTGAAACTACTGAACGGATTTTAATGCGGTTTTCACAGCTGATAGATAGATGTTAGTCAAACTATAAAAACATATTTTTTATCCGCCCATACGGACGAAGTTGCGGGCGGCCGCTAGTTTCAGAATGAAATATTGTATAAATATGTATAAAGAAAGGTTTTTATTACTAACATAATAATTGTCATTACTTATTTTGGATTTTTTGGATGTACCTATTAATTTTATACGGTAATAATTTGGAACACTGTAAATTGTACCTAAATTGTCAGTTTATAATTTAATCTAGCGAGTTTGGAAGTGGTTAAGGCGAATGACATTAATATAACGGTACAAGGTAGGTACAAGTTACAGTGCTACAAATTATAATCTTTTAAGTTTGAATTGAATTTATTTTGTTTTATTAAAACAGTAAATAGATAACAGTTTTAGTTATTAATACATCCAACAAAAACCAAAATAAGTTATCGATGGGAAATAAAATGCAAAAAAATATCCATTAAGTATTTATTATTATAGTATTATATTACAGTATATATATTACATATTTAAAAACAAAATTTAAAAATGTTACAAGTAGGTAACCCAATTTTAATCTAAATCTTCTTATTCCTCAGGTATGATGTTGGCACAATTTAAATTATTATAAAACTGTGATAATATTTTGGGATGGCCTCACTATCATACAGAGACTTCAGGTCATCAAGCAGGGCCTTGGTGACGGGTAACGGATGGCTGTAAATATTTTTAAGGGTTTGTACCTCGTCGGCGAGGGATTTTCGCCCTCTTTTCGGTTTGGTCCATTTTGTATTCAACTCAAAGGGCTCATTTTCGAGTTCGTACTTATACTGTAAAATTGTTGGTTTCAAATGAGAAACTCTCACCTCCATCAATTTCGACCACTTAATTTTTCGTCCTTCGGTGTGTTTTAACCGATTCTTTCCATTAATAAGATCTCTTATATCGTAGAAATCCACCTGCTCCATTTCATTGATCTTATATTCTGGATGCGAGATTTTAGTGTTTGAAATTACACCATAAACTTGCTCTGGAGTATACAGTATTTTATTTTTCATAGCCCTCTCTATGCATGAATGCATATTATCACCTTCATTTTGGCTATGCCCGGTCTCAAAAAATCGGTGCGTTATAGTTTTCACTCCATACACTTGTATGATATACAGGTATAGGGCGAATATAAACCGATTTTTGTTTTGGCCGGCGCAACCATCAGAATAAAATGAAAAATTTTCGATTCCTCTCAGTTGTTCTCTCTTGATGAATTTTAATAAACAACTACCAATTTCGGTAAAAGAGAGGTTCTCTTTCCAATAGACATATGCCACACAAAACAATGTCCGGCTTTGTGCATTAAATCAAACACAGTAAAGTTATAAACTGCATATTTTCGTTTATAATAAAAATGCCCACTTCGGACTGTGGCACACTCAAAACTTTTTCCAGATCAAACGCCGCAATAGTAGTGGTTTTTTCATCTGTGCTCAATTTTTCTTCGTTTTTTATGTTACGAACAGTCTCCTTTTTGTTTGCTATCTGCATGCGTCCTCTAGTGATAGTTTTTTTCTTCGTCTGCTTGGTCATAAAGGGTATTGTGCACTGATTATTTTTTTGGCCGAAAGAAAGAGTAATTGAATTCTGTATTGAACACAGACTCATACTATCGCTTTGTAGCTTTCCGATCTTCTGGAAAATGTTGGTTTGGAAACCACAGTTTATATAATCGGTACATTTTTGAAATACATATATTAAGTTGCTCTGACAAATATTTCCGTTTTGACCATTTTCTGACGCAGTGAGACTCTATTGCTGAAAACAAATTAACGTGGTCAATTATGCTTTACTCATCTTTTGAGGCATGTTCGCGTGACTCCCTCTCTGATTAATCATACCTTCATTATTTTTACTTTACTGTTCTGATATTTTTAAAGTATTTAAAAAATTAACCTTGCAAACAGTAATTTCTGACTCGTCTAATGGAAAACTTTAATTGATAGTTTGGGCCCTGTTTTGTTTTCTGTCTATAGTCATTTTCTTTATTGGTTTTGCTATTGTGTGTCGATTAATAAATTGCCATTGTATTTCGTGATCAGCCATTTTATAAAAAGTTTCAAATATAGTTTTCCTCTGCTGTTCAGAGAACTTTTCTTGCATTTTTTTTTACAAGAACATACAGGTCCCATGGTTTTTGCTGGATATACTTTTTTTGTACGTTTGTTTGTGTAGCTTTTTCCAGAATCCTTCTTTTTTTGTTTATATTATTTTTCCACTCACTCTCGTTTCTACGGCGTTTTCTACTGAGTTTCTTTTCTTCTGACTGATCATCTCTATGGATTTCTTCTATTGTAATTGCGTCCTCCGTTTCACATCTATAATCTTAATTATTCGATAAATATGAAGGTGTGTGATCACCCGAACGATAATGTGTTGACGCTTACCGGGAACAGCTTTGTCATTTTTCACTCGAACAATAGGGTAATAATGCTTACTCTAAAATTTTTACTCATAAGATTTGGTAATAAGTTTTTGCGTTATTAATCGACTCGATTGTTCTATTATGTTATCCGTTGAACAGCAACATAAAGATCATTATTGAATGGATAAATCGAAAAATATTCGTCGCCCGGCTATAAAAATTTTGTCAATGATGTATTACGGTGTGTGAATAACGAATCTTAAATAAACCCGACTCTATGGTAATAGCGATAACGATAGTGTTCGTCGGGGACGGCGACTTGTATATATAGAGGTCAGTGTATTTTTTTTGACGGGTACTTGACCGGCGGTGGTTTGCTGCTCCTGTATTATTGTTTAAATAATGGTTTGAAGTGGATATTGATATTATGTTAAAGTGGTGTGATTTTGTTTATTAAGTGTCTGCGCATGTGAAATATTAGTGAAAAGGGTAAAACAAGTGCTATGACGGTGATGTGATTCTAAAGTTAAGGTATCTGTCTATCTGCTTAGGCGCCTTGAGGTACCATCGCCAACTGTCACCTGTCTGCTGACTCAAGTTGCCGTCAAATTCTCTCAAGGGCTGCACAATGTGACGGATCAACATATTGTGAAGCAGTGTACTGTGAAGGATAATTATACCTTGTAACTTCAGGTTTAGAAGAGCTAGAACCCAGAGCCGTATAGCCAGTTATAAAAAAAAACTTGAAATATTTATTTATCTATGCCTGAAATCAACAATGAACAATGTAGGTACGTGTCAAAAATCAAAATCACAAATTATTAAGTTGTATGTACAGGTCAAAATCATAATTTTTTGTGAGTTCGAAATTTATCTTTAAATTTAATTGGTTATAATGTCTGATTATAAGTCTTACGCTGTGCTTTTTTGTGTTCTTCAGTGTCTAAGGTAGTTTTGGAGATTTTTATTAATAAAAACCGCCAAAAGCACAATAATCTGAAACCCTATCATAAAATTCACACTAACTAAGACGGTAAACTAAGATTTATATGTAAGAAAATTTTACATTCTGAAATGTCTGCACAAAAGAAACAGGAACATTTAATATCGTCTAAAGAATCAAGGAATTCAGCTGGTAAAGAACAAACATCGCAAGTTCAGAATATTGCTATTAGTAGTGAAAACAGTGGTAATATCGTCAGCGAGAGTAAGACTGAAATCCCTAAAGGTAAAAATGCAAAAAAGAAAGAGTTAATAAAAAACTTACATATAGAAATGCCTGCAAATACAGAGACTCGGCCCCAAGTTCAAACAGCTGGAGTCATTACATCCAATAACCAAATAAATTCAGTACATCAGTTATTTTTAACTCAGATAAGTCCCTTATATGCTGCTACTAGTTCAAAATATTTAGAAAACCTATCGCATCTTCCTCACTATCAGTTTATGCAAAGCCATTTTGCAAATGTATTTAGAATTCAAGATCAATTTGGTAGTGCACCAAATACTCCTTTAAACCATGTAAATTGCCAATTTAACCCAGGGAGCACCCCTATCACACCTTTGAACTATGAAGCAAGTTCTCCCAGATTTTTGCAAAATGTTATGCAGCATCCTCTGTTAAATCAAGCATACTCAAGGACTAACAATTTTCAACATAGACAAGAATATAGGACATTCCTTCCAAGTCAGAGTAATAATGGTGGAAAACGTTTACCTACCAAGAATAAGAACAGCAAGAAAAAAGACAAAGACAATCAAGATAAAAGTTTTGAACCTTATATAACAGCCGAAGAGGTTGATATTGGCCTGAAAGAAAATATTTTGCTTGAAGGTGCTTTAAGAATAAATCCTAAACAATTTCTACACTCATATGTGTCAAGTAGTGATCGCAGTGAACAAGACATATTTATAGATGGGGTTAAAAACAGAAATCGCGCCCTTGAAGGAGATGTTGTTGTTGTACAAATAATAAATCAAAGTGATGATGATAATAAGCAGAAAAAGGGAAAAGTGGTTTACATCAAAGAGAAAGTACATACCAGAACCTGCATTGGACTATTAAAACTGATGCCTGATAAAAACAGACAAAAAGCATTATTTATACCCAGAGATTACAGAATTCCAAGACTTAATATACCATTCACCTGTTGGCCTGACAATTTCTATACAGAAGCAAAAAATTATGAATGTACTCTCTTTTTAGCTAAAATTGAAGATTGGTTTGACACAAGGTTTGCACTTGGAAAAATTATTTGTAACATTGGTCAAACAGGAGACCTTTTGACAGAAGCTAAGGCTATTTTAGCTCAAACTGATTTAGATGTTACACCTTTTGGACCAGAAGTTAGAGATCTATATCCACGTTTGGATTATGTTATACCTGAAAAAGAAATACACATAAGAGAGGACTGCCGCAATTTATGTATTTTTAGTATTGACCCAGCTAATTGTCGAGATATTGATGACGCTGTTTCATGCAAGAAGCTTGAAAATGGAAATTATGAGATTGGTGTTCATATTTCTGACGTTTCTCACTTTTTAAGTGAGAATACTATATTAGATGAGAAAGTTGCAGACAAAGCAACTACAATTTATTTAGTTGAAAAAGCTTACCATATGCTTCCTGATGATTTGTGTATGCTATGTTCCTTATTTCCTGGTGTAGATAAGCTTGCCTTTTCAGTATTTTGGGAAATAACAGAAGATGCAAAAGTTTTAAACCATAGATTTTCTAAAACTGTCATTCATTCTTGTTGTCAATTGACTTATGATCATGCACAAGCCATATTAGATGACAAAAAAGATGCTGAAGAAATCTTTCCTGAATTATACAATGGATTTCAGTACAAAGATGTATATGAGACAGTGAAAGTTCTAGGAAAGATGTCATCTATATTCAGAAAGTCCAGATTTGAAAATGGTGCACTTCGTATTGATCAACCCAAAGTTTATTTCCATTTAAATCCTACTACTGGTCTACCAGATGGTCTTTGGATTTATGAAAGTAAAGAAAGTCATCAGCTAATTGAAGAATTTATGCTACTGGCTAACATGACTGTAGCAAAAAGAGTATATGATGACCATCCCCAATTAGCATTTTTGAGGTGTCATCCGCCACCTAGTGGTTATATGTTGCAAGAACTAGCCAAATCTCTTAAACCAATGGGTATTGAATTAGATGTTTCCTCTGCTGGAAATCTATACCAATCATTATTGCCACATGTCGGCCCTGATAATACAGACAAAGGAAAAGCTATGGTTCTTAATATGCTATGTGCCAAACCAATGACAAGAGCTAAATATTTTTGTGCCAGTGGATGTGAAGATGATGACTTCCATCACTATGCCCTTAATGTTCCTCTTTATACCCATTTCACAAGTCCTATTCGACGATATGCAGATATTATGGTTCACAGGTAAATCTATAAAACTATAAATAATTTCAGATTTATTTTTCTTGTTAAAAATGATTATATATTATACTTGTTTTAGGCTTTTATCTGCAAGCTTAAATTACAAAGAAGTTCCTAAATGGGAAGTTGACAAAGTACGAATGATAGCCGCACAGTGTAATAAACAAAAATATAATGCCAAAAGAGCAAGTGAACTATCTACAGAGTTTTACACATTAAAATATATAGAAAAGAACTCACCATATGTGACTGATGCTGTTGTTGTTGAAGTTAGAGAAAAATACATTGATGTCATCATAGTGGCTATGAGTTTGAACAGAAGAATTTTCTTTAACAATGTAAGAATCTTATATATTTTTATTTCATTCCTAAAATGCATTAACTATTATTTATCAACTGATTGCACAGCCTAATGGTTAAAGTATCTGTTACTATGGCATAAGTTTTTGTTTGAATTCCAAACATAACATTTGTAATATAATTTAAATGATTATCTCTTTGCCTTTGACATTTCTCCATAGCCTAACTAATATCATAATTGTTACATTGGGCACATGGCTAGGTGAGACTAAGCTTAGGTAACTATCAATATTATCAAAATCCAAGAGCAAAACCATAATTGTTTACGGTTCACAAGTAATAGAAGCCTTGCATTACTTTATTATCATTTTGTACCTAATACAGTGGACCCCCCGGTAATCTATTTTGCAGGGCAGTGTCGGACTATCGAATTTGTCGGATTATAGAGTACTGCCTAAGGCTATAGGGGGCTATAGTCCGGAATTTTTTATAAAAGAGTACCTTGTAATCCGACAAATTCCAGATACAATGATAAGATTCTATATGTTATATATATACTCTGGAAGTACAAATTAAACTTCATTATGTATGTCAAATTTAGTAAATTAAACAACACAATAGAGAGCTTACATTTTATTATAAAATTAACGTCATTAATGCTATAGAACTTAGAAAAAATATGCAATAACTTTATATTAGGAAATAATTGTGTACATACTAAAATAATCAAAAATTATGAATCAAGTTATATCTTGTTCAATCATGCATTTGCAAAGATTGTCAAAAAAATATCTAATAATAAATAATAGACCATGTCGGATTACAGGGGGTGCCAGATTAGACAGGGGCCGTATTACCGGGGGTCCACTGTACTAGATCTTTAGATTTCCCCATACTTGCCATCTGAGTACTAATTCTTCACAGTGTAAACTATTGCCAATCACCAGTCTTGAAGAATTTAGGTTTGGTATTTTTCCATAGGTTTACTGCCAATTGCTTTGGTCGGATACTCCAAACCAATATTTTTTATGTTACACTTTTCACCAGAGCTTACCTGCTGTCCAGCGCAGTAAGTGTTCTTGGCACCCATTGATCACATACCTTTTTCATGGGCATGTGCAAATGCCAAACATTGCAAACTCACTTTGTTGTAGTTTTAATGTTCACACTTTTGGCTGTGCTTTTGCTACATTTTTATTCCGCAGTTTTTTACACAATGTGGTCATTAGTAATGGGCATCGACGGATGGCCCGGGTGTGAGTTGTCTTTAGTTGACACTCGTCTTTGATGGAACAATTGACTTAAATTCAGTTAAAATAAAAAAATTAATGTTCTATTATCATTACTTGTAATGTATATTGAATAAAAATGATTCTTTTCTATTCTATTGTTCTAATTATGAATTAACAATGACAAAGTTTCCTGTAAACCGAAGGTCTCTTCAAAAATATCTTTCAGACTCTTTGCTGTGAGCAAATTAGTAACAAAACGATGCTTTATATTTCTTGCGCATATTATCATATTGTCGGTAGATTTGGTGGTGTTTCTCAATTAGTTACTCAGATCATAACGAGCCAAATAATTTGCACTATAAGCTTATGGGATTAAAATCCAATAGGGAGTTAAATAATGAGAGGGTATTTAAATAAAACTACTTTTACGGATTTTATCGCGTATATTAACTTATTTTATATTCCCGACGTTTTGAGTACTTTACAGTACCCAAAGTCACGGGCGTCCCTCCCGATTATGGGGTACAAAATAAGTTAATATACACGATAAAATCTGTAAAACTAGTTTTATTTAAATGTGTAGTGTTCGCGTAAATTTAAGAAATCATAATGAGAGGCTAGTCAGATTAATAGCACTTGATGCTGAGAACATCCAGCCATTGAGCCATTTGAGCTCGAACTGGGGTGGTACCACGACCTCACAGAATACCAGCGTGAAGTAGAGGTTTACCTCCGCGTTGCGCTTGGTGAGTGCAGGTGGCCGGACGCCCAATCCCCCTCCCCCCCATCAACATGGTAGTGGAATTAAATAAGAGACTACCCCAGGAGGGTACCAGCACCCCTGGAGAATCCCTCGCTGAGCATCCACGACCAAACTACTTCACTCCTGAGCGTGGGTGCTCAGGCTGCCCCGCGTATTCGGGGGGGGGGGGGGGCAAAATTCCGCTCGCGACTAATGCTGCTCGGGGCAAGCGGAGCAATGCAACCAAGGCGACCCCTGTCACGCTATCCGTGAATTTTTGCAACATCAGGGGACTTCGTTCCAACCTTAATGCTGTCCATTACCATCTAGAGACGGCGAAGCCGGCCTTGCTCTTTTAACCGAGACTCAGGTGTCCTCTCCGGCTCATACTTCATATCTCTCCTACCCGGGATACAAATTGGAACACTCCTTTGTGCCCCGGGCTGGAGTTTGCGTATACGTCAGAGAGGACATCTGTTTTCGACGCCTCGGCAGTCTTGAAGGTACGGACCTGTCCATCCTATGGCTGCGCGTAGACAGCGACGACCATCCCCGCGTCTACGGGTGCCTCTATAGGTCCCATAGCGGTAATGCCGACACAGACCGACTCATCGACCACGTCCAAATGGCTGCAGACTCCGTGCTACAACAGGTCCCATCCGCAGAGATCGTGATACTCTGTGATTTTAACGCCCACCACGCTGAATGGCTTGGTTCTTGTTTAACCGATCATGCGGGTAGATCTGTCTATGACTTTGCTTTGGCATATGGTCTAACACAACTGATTACTTCGCCTACGCGGATCCCAGATGTGGAAGATCATGTACCTTCCCTGTTGGACCTTCTGCTGACCTCTCATCCGGACGGATATCAGGTCTCCGTCGATGCCCCTCTGGGCTCTTCGGACCATTGTCTGATCCGGAGTACGGTGTCACTCACGCTCCAATCGCAGTCGCGATATGCAGCTTGCCGCCGTGTTTGGCACTATAGGTCAGCTGATTGGGACGGGATGCGGTCTTTTTTTGCATCCTACCCTTGGGGGCGGGTTTGCTTCTTGCCGGGAGATTCCAGCGTTGTTGCCGATTCTGTTGCTGATGTGGTACTTCAGGGTATGGAACTTTTTATTCCATCCTCTGTGGTGCCCATCGGAGGCAGATCCCAGCCATGGTTTGGTCGCTCCTGTAAAAGAGCATCACGCTATAAGCAGAAGTGCTACCGGGCCTGGGCTGACGCATCAACGTCTCGGGATGTAAACACCAGCGCACTGAAAAAGAAGTATAATTCCGCCAGGCGCAGGCATTTCTGCCGATGTGCGCAGGCAAGGTCTGCGCACATTGGCAGAATTGGCGAATTCGCCTTCCTTCGGGAACTCGTGCATTCTGGTCTCTCGCCAAGGCTGTCCAAGGGAACTTCTGTCAGCCATCTCTTCCATCTCTGCACAGGGAGGACGACTCACTGGCCCATGCCGCAAAGGAGAAAGCGGATCTGTTGAGCTCTTTTTTTGCGTCCAACTCGACTCTAGATGAAGGGGGAATACACCGCCGATCATCCCGCGATGTGAGTGCTCCATGCCGGATGTGCGGTTTACACAGCGCTCAGTTCGCAAAGCACTCTTCTCCCTGCACGTCAGCAAGTCGAGTGGGCCCGATGGAGTCCCTCCCATTGTGCTGAAGACGTGTGCTCCGGAGTTGGCACCGGTTTTAACGCGTCTTTTCCGGTACTCCTAGTGCCTAGGCGTAGTCTCGAATTCATGGAAGACAGCTTTGGTCCACCCGATCCCTAAAAAAGGCGACCGCTCAGACCCGTCCAACTACAGGCCTATTGCCATCACCTCCTTGTTCTCCAAAATAATGGAATCCATTATAAACTGCCAGCTCATGAGGTACCTTGAGGATCACCAGCTGATTAGTGACCGCCAGTACGGTTTTCGTCGAGGTCGATCAGTTGGTGATCTTTTAGTATATCTGACTCATAGATGGGCGGAGGCAGTAGAGTCCAAGGGGGAGGCATTGGCCGTTAGTTTGGACATAGCGAAGGCCTTTGATCGGGTCTGGCACAAAGCGCTTCTTTCGAAGCTTCCTTCCTATGGGCTTCCCGAGAAATTGTGCAAATGGATCACCAGTTTCCTTGCTGATCGGAGTATCAAGGTCGTAGTAGACGGTGCATGCTCTGATTTCAAGCCTATCAACGCTGGTGTTCCACAAGGCTACGTGCTATCACCAACGCTGTTTCTCCTGCATATCAATGATATGTTGCTAACTGGTAGCATTCATTGCTATGCGGACGACAGCACTGGTGATGCCTTATATACCGGCCGTGCCAATATTTCTCGGGAAAACGTCGCTGAGTACCGGGACAAACTTGTGTCCGACTTCCGGATTGGGGCCGACTAAATATAGTCCAGTTCAATCCCCAGAAGACACAAGTTTGCGCGTTTACCGCTAAAAAGAACCCCTTTGTCGTATCTCCTCAGTTTCAAGGCACTCCCCTTGCTGCCTCAGCTAGTATCGGAATCCTTGGCGTCGACATATCGAATAGTGTGCAGTTTCGTGGTCACTTGGAAGGGAAGGCCAAATTGGCCTCTAAAAAGCTAGGCGTGCTCAGCAGAGCGAGACAGTATTTCATGCCGGCACATCGCTTGCAACTTTACAAAGCGCAAGTTCGGCCCCACATGGAATACTGTTCTCATCTCTGGGCCGGGGCACCCCAGTGCCAGCTCCTTCCACTTGACCGCATCCAGCGCAGAGCGATTCGAATCGTCGACGACCGAGTTGTTTCTGATCGGCTCGATACACTGGCACTGCGTAGAGATGTGGCATCTCTTATTTATTTTATTTCTCGTATTTTATCGCATCTATCACGGGGAGTGCTCTGAGGAATTGTTCGGACTAATTCCAGCCGCTCACATTCATACCATCTGGATGATTGGCGGTCCAGCACTGGTGCGATTTAGAAGAAGTTTTCTCCCTCGCACAACTTCCTTGTGGAATCAATTACCACCAGCGAATTTTCGAACGACTTAGGAACCTTCAAGAAAAGAGCTTACATCTTTCTAAAAGGCCGGCAACGCATCTGCAATTCTCCTGGTGTTGCAGTTGTTCATGGGCGGCGGTAGTCACTTACCATCAGGTGAGCCGCATGCTCGTTTGCCCCCTCTTCTATAAAAAAAAAATCCCTCATATTATCGATGAAGTGCCAATACCTCCCTAAGTGTAAGAATGCTGAATATTAAATTTGACAAAAAATTACTTTGCGTACATCCGCTAGATAAAATAAAATGATGTGTCTTACCTAGTTTGAAGAGCACCTCCCGGTAAGACACATCATTTTATTTTATCTAGCGGATATACGCACAGTAATTTTTTGTCAAATTTAATATAATGGACTTCCGCAAAGTAACGCCTGATTCTATTAATTATCATAAGAATGCTGATTTTATCACTGGGCAAAAAAAAAACTATTGTTGGCAAATTATTATAACATCGGGATTTTTAATTGATTGTGAAGTATTATTTATAGGTTTTCTTTTGGTACTATTATTAAGACATGCAAGCAACTCTCGCATTTATAATCCACCATAAAAACTTATTCCCTATCTCTCATTCACTTTAAATATAATATTTTACAGGATTTCCCAGGCGAACATAAGTGTATCAAGAATGAGGCTGGTACCAAGCTATCCAAAATGGAATTGGTATGGAAAGCAACAAAAAATGCACCCTTGATTAAGCAAGTAATAGAAGTATTTTCAATAGTGAAGGTAGAATTGAACAGGGATGAAGATATGGTGAAAGTGGATACAAAACTTGTAAGACCTATTTAATTACCTATACATTTTGAAGACAAATTTTTATTAAGTTGAGAAGCAAATACTTAAAATTTTAACATTTTAAATTCTGAACATTTATAATAATTGTTGATCTTAGGATATATATATTTTTTAGAGAAAATTGTGAGATGTCATATTTTTTTCGAAGATTTGTGATGTTATACAAAACCTGTAAAATAAATAATTAAATGTTACTAAGTAGCTAAATTAATAACTTACAATTCTTGTTGTTTATAACAATAATGATTTTTGGTATATAGGTATGCAATTCTATGTACATTTCTAAAATTTGTAAAAAATGTGTGAGTAGATGATGTTTACCCACTTATATCTAAATATTTGTATAAAAATCTCTTGCACAAATAGTATTTTGTTGACATGCTCATATATGCATAATAATTTTGTAATTTATATTTTACAATTTTACATGAATTAGGCAATTGATTATATTCATTGTTTTTATTTTAATGCTCTTTAGTTTTTCCTATCTTTGATGTAAGATACACTTTTCATGTGCAAAGTGCATGGTGAGGCCACTTAAGGAAGAAAGTACTGGTTAAAAAAAATCTTTTGTTTGTTGAACTTGTCGTATGTTTCCAAATGAATAATTTGAATTTGCACATACTTCAAATATTCTAGAAGGATCGTAACATTAAATAATACATTTATTATGTATAGTCATAGACTTTTGTGTGGTATATTGCAGTTTACCACTAAGTACAAGTTTCTATTTAATAATAATGATTAAGAGTTAGATGGAATGCTCAATCAGCAAACACTTTTAGCAAATAAATGCAACTGAATAATGAATGAACTAAAATATTTTATTTTTATTTTAATTGTCTGAGTGTAGCATTTATTCACCTTTTTTGTCTATTTTACCTTTATTTTTACATTTGGCTTGGTGCCCGTGAATGTATTTTTATGTTTTGAATGCATCGCAAACATTTGCATTGGACTCGTGTCTATGAAGCCAAATACTCTTCTCCGATGAAACTAAAATTATGCTATATGGGAAGAATGGAAGGAGGAACCTATCCAAACTGATCAAGACAAGGTGTAAGACTGCATTGAAGAAAAAGTATATTATGGCGGGAGGTCATATGCAGTCGGGGAGGTGTTTCTACAATAAACCAAAACTAGAATTGAAGTTCTGACCGTCGAGGGAAAAGGGGAGATCTCTCGTCGGGCAAGGAGTGATAGGTGTTAAAGTGTGTAAAATCCAATACAAGTCTGCCACACGTGTTTTGGCCTGATCCGGGATTTGAATCCGAAACCTCATGATCAGTAATCGCGTTTACGACCTCTAGACCAATGAGGTAGTAAGTCTTTTTCATTACTTTGTCTGTGAGAGCCATACTTTCATCGTAGTTGTATTTTCTGTAAAATCGCCCGAAAACAATTTTCTGCCTATCGTAAAATAGTGTTTAACTACAAACCCAAATGAAGGTAAGTGGTGATGTAGCTGAAGGTTTAACTTCATTTCAATTGATAAAAGCCTAATCGGATGGAAAGACAGACGCTGCATATTATTTCAATTGTTTGCTATGCACTACGAACGGCAAAGCAACCGAAAGCGTAAGTAGTCCGATGGTGCAAGAAGGAAAAGTGAGAAATCATAATGATTTCTTATATTTACGCGAAGACTACACATTCATCATCATCATCATTACAGCCCTTCACAAGTCCACTGCTGAACATAGGCCTCCCCCAAGGAATGCCACAAAGCACGGTCCTGAGCCACCTGCATCCATCGACTTCCTGCATATCTTACCAGGTCGTCACTACATCTAGCGGGGGGACGCCCTACACTTCGCCTGCTGGTACGAGGCTGCCACTCGAGAACCTCTCTTCCCCATCGGTTGTCGGTTCTTCGAGCTATATGGCCGGCCCATTGCCACTTCAGCTTACTAATCCGTTGGGCTATGTCGGTCACTCTTGTTCTACTGCGGATATCCTCATTTCTTAGTTTATCACGCAGAGAAACTCCGAGTATAGCCCTCTCCATAGCTCGCTGAGCGACCTTGAGCTTCCTCATCCAGCCAGCAGTGAGGGACCACGTCTCAGTTCCGTATGTCATCACTGGCAACACGCACTGGTTGTACAGTCTCGTTTTCAAGTTTTGAGGTATACCTGACGTGAAGATGTGCCGTAACTTCCCGAACGCTGCCCAACCGAGTTGAATCCGTCGATTGACCTCTCGGTTCGAAGTTGGACTTACCTAGTCGGACTATTTGTCCCAGGTAAACATACTCGTCAACAACTTCGAGCTTAGTGCTCCCAACAACTACCAGCATAGGTGTGACATGGACATTAAACATGATGTTTGTTTTGTCCATGTTCATCTTAAGACCTATCCGTTGGGAAGCACTATTAAGGTCATTGAGCATAGTGCTTAGGTCCTCCAGCGATTCTGCCATAAGGACTATATCGTCGGCAAATCGAAGGTGAGTGATGTACTCGCCATTGATGTTGATACCGTATCCTTTCCAGTCCAGAAGCTTGAAAACGTCTTCCAATGCAGCGGTGAAGAGTTTCGGGGATATGACGTCACCCTGTCTTACACCTCTCTACAATTGGATAGGTTTCGTACTCTGGTTCAGTACTCGGATAGCCATCGTAGCCCTACTGTACAAGCACTTCAGCACTTCGATATACCGACAGTCCACTTTGCACCGCTGAAGCGACTGCAGCACCGCCCAAATTTCGACGGAATCAAAGGCTTTCTCATAGCCCACATACGCCAGACATAGTGGCAAATTGTACTCCTCTGACGATTCGTAATGACTCTCGAAAACAGCACGTAGACGCGGCTCAGAAGGGAAATCGGTCTGTAGTTCTTCAAGAGAGAGTTGTCCACCTTTCTTGAAGAACAAGACCACCGCACTTCTGCTCCACGCCTCCGTTGTAATGCCACCATGGAGGACGGAATTAAAGAGCTTCTGAAGGACTTCAAGTACCGGTCTTCCACCCGCTTTCAGAAGCTCCGCTGTAATTCCATTCTCGCCTGGGGCCCTGCCGTTTTTAAGGTGCTGGAGAGCCATTCTAATCTCGCTCAAACTGACGTCCGGGATATCTTCGGAACAGTGTCGGATAAGACTCGCTCTTGGATCGTTACTCACACTTGCGTGTGGCTCCAACGATGACGTGTACAGCTGCCCATAGAATCTCTCAATCTCACTCAAAATCTCAGGTGTCCCGGAAACGATGCTGCCACATTCGGTCTTCAGCTCTGACAGTTGGCTCTTTCTGGCACACAGATCTCTGGCAAAGACTTTGGAGCCTTGGTTCCGCTCGATCGCTTCTTCAATACAAGCTGTATTGAAGTTGCGTAAGTCCCGCCGCATGCATTTGGAGATCTGTCTGTTCAGTTGCCTGTATGCTGTCAAATCTGTTGAAGAATGTAGCTTCATCTCCCGTCTAACAGTCATGAGATTAAGAGTGTGATCGGAGAGTTTTTGTGTTCTTCTGCGGCGGGTCTTGCAAAACTTAGCTCCGACCGCATGGACAGTTCCCACGAGCTTGTCATTCATATCGTCCACTTCATTGCAGTCTTCTAGGCACTGAAAACGATTTTGTAACTCGAGCTGAAAGGTTTCGGCACTTTGGATTAGAGCACGAGGGGGACGGAGCGTTGACTTCATTAGACGAGACCTCTCCAACTTAACGTTTAGGTTTAGTGTGCCTCTAACCATTCGGTGATTGCTACCAGTTTTCACCCTCGCGATCACGGAGTCACTGAACAGTTGTCGTCTGGTCGTCATAATGAAGTCAATCTCATTTTTTGTCGAACCGTCGGGGCTCGACCAGGTCCACTTCCTGTGGGGCCGCTTCTGGAAGAAAGAGTTCATCATAAAGAGTCCCTCTTTCTCCATGAAGTCGGCCAGTGGCTGGCCCCTTGGGTTCCGTTGCCCTATTCCAAATTTCCCTACTTTCAGCTCACCGTTCTCTCTTGTGCCTAGATTTGCATTGAAGTCTCCCATTAACACCGTATATTGGGTTTTGGAGGAATGCATGGCTTTAGAGATATCCTCATACATTTCCTCCACCTCCTCATCGGGGTGTGCCGAGCTTGGTGCGTAAACCTGTATGACCTTCAGCGAATACCGTTTGGTGATTCTGAATATAAGGTACGCAACCCTCGTCGACACACTCCCGATCTTTACAACGTTGTTAACGAGAGACTTGTGGACGATAAATACGACACCTTCTTGGGACAGATGGTCGCCCTCCCGGTGATAGAGTAAGTGGCCGCATTCGAGGATTACCGTGTCCTCCCCCTCTCTTCGGACTTCGGATAATCCTATAATATGCCAGCGCAACTTGTCTATCTCTTCTTCCAGCTCCACGATCTTCTCGTCAGTCCTCAGGGTGCGTGCGTTGTACGTTGCCAAGTCGAGTCGTCTAAGGTGGCAACCGAACCTCCACCGGAGATTCTTAGCACCCCCTGCCCCGCCGTTACCATGGTCGCCACCGTAGCCAGGAATAGCGGGGCCGCCGGGGACTGGGGGCCGTCTGTTTGTTGCTCTAATCATTGGGGGGTATTTGCCATAGTTGCCACGCTTGGCGAGGGGGTTGGCAATCGCAGTTTTTTTACTGTAATTTTGGCTATTATCAGGAAGATGCTGCTGCCCATCTCCTGCCTGTTTCCCTTTGTCGCCTTTTACGACACCCACGGGAGGACATGGGGTAGTGGATATTCTTGACCGCCACTACACGGCAATTGGTTAGATTTACAGGAGAGATTATCTGGCCCAAATAGATGTATTCATTAACATATTCAATCGGGTTATTATTGATCAGAATAGGTTCTTCCTTGCCATTGGTCATAGCCTTGGTCTTTAATGTGTTCATGACCAATCCTACATTGCCACTTTCTCTAACAAGGTCATTAAGCATCGCCTGCAGTCCGCCACTCGATGACGAGAGGATTATCAAATCATAGGCAAATCTCAAATGTGACAGGTTTTCACATCCCAGTCCACATTTCTCCC